TAATTGAAAAGCAAATTAGTTACATATCATCACTTCAACGTGTACCAATAGATATCAAAACTTTATTATGTAAAAATAATATATTTAATAAATGATGATGATGGTGCATTTACTATATATTAATTGTTTGTTTTGGACACAATAATATAATGCCGATTAATTTGAGGATGACAATTAATCTCTTTCTATTTGTCTTATTTCGTAGCTAATATTTATTTAAATTTGTGATGATGAAATGAATTCATCTACTCAATTTTATACATGGTTAAATAAAATAAATTATAAGGGTGGTATGCAATCATAATTTTAGCGAAGTCTTTACAAAAGAAATAGTAATTTGAGAATTAGTAATTTTTAATGATTTGAGGTGTCAAACTGGTGTATCGCTCGATAAAAGTGGCCCAGAAATCAAACATAACTTCAAGTGGAGTGATCCGTGGGTCAGTATCTAAAAAATCTGGAACAATCTGGTTTAAATTATCAGACTGACAGTTAACCATTGGACCAATATTAATATTACAATAAAAAAATAAAATTTGAATTTGAATTTGAATTTAAAGGTATCAAAAAGTCTGCCAATCTCTAAAGAAGGTTGTCGATTCCGATTTGGGCTGGTCCCGAGCTTAGGTACATATTTATGGGCTAGTCTTGGCCGGACTCTCGAACCTTCACGGGTCGATCCTTTAACAAGACTAGAACATGTTGGTTCGTTTACACGGACATGTCTGTTCGATTATTACGCTCGTAAGAATTGGTATTGCAATGATGAGAGTAGTGATAGAACGTGTAAAAACACATATTGAATCACTCCACAACATCGCAAAAATTAATATTACTAAGTTCAAATCTTGCACGCCTTGCTTGGTCCCGTTTATTTTTTCATAGAAATTCCTCTTTCTTATGTCAAGTTTAGTGACAGTTTACTGAATAAAGAAAGACCAATATTCATCAATTAGTATATAAATAAAGAATAAAAGTCTTTTGAACCCCACCCAAAATATCTACCTTTCACTTGATTCAATTGACTTGTGGCTTGAATTGTTATCAAAAAGCAATCCATTATGTTTTTTTTTCTTGAATCTTTCTCCCTTACCCATTTCTATTTCTTGAATGACTTGTACAACTCAACCACACAAAACATTGACACCAACAAGTAACCAACTAACATAGAATCATGATAGATCAAAATAATACCACTCAAGATAATTTTTCAATGTCTTTAACGACTTATAGTTTTCGACCGACAAAATTATATCACATCTTTAGCATGAATTGCTACACATATTTAGCTCATGTTGATTAAGATAAAAAATTTTCAAATTTTTAGTAGATCTTCATTAAAAATTAATGAAATTTATTATTAAAAAGTTGTGAGTCTCATAAAATGTAAAATTAAAAATTAATTATTTACTTTAAATTGAATTTTAATCCGCTTTCTTAGTGGAACCAAACAGAGGTTTAATTAGGATGTTTACTAGTAATTTAAACATACCGATGCTGACAAAATAAAATGTAATCTATTATCTAAAGATAACTTTGTTCTTTAATAGTATAAACTTTTAGATGAGATTAATTTTACAGCTTCTTCATGGACATAGTTACTGGTTAGGCAATTTGGGTGAATTAGGTTTTGTTCAGAAAAACCCAGAAAGTAAATATTATCCACCTAACGTCATGACAAAGGAAAGTACGACACATCTCACAGTTCCAGCCATGCTTTTCACAAGCCAAAAAGGATCTTTCATCTAACCCACTCGTAGAAATACAAATATTATATACAATTTTTATGTATGTATAGACCGCACAGTAACATATAGCAGAAGCTACAATATGGGTATACGGTATACATCTCTACTTTTATAGCCACAAAAAACATATTCCCAGAATGTTCTTTTCCCAATATAAATAGTGAATATTAGTGCTAAATAGTTTTGCTGTATATTCCAGCAAGTTGCACAGAAAGTGAAGAGGAAGAGAGGAACTGTACATTTGTTGACCCAAAATAAAGGGAAAATGTGCGTTCAAGGTGCAGAGCATGAGACGGAGGGAATGGAAAATCCCAAAAATGATGATGAATTAAGTATAAAGACTTCGTCTTTGCATTCTCAAGCTGATTTCGCCACTGCCCAGAATGAGAATTGGGACAAGAGTTCACCGGCTTTTGAGAATGTTTCTATGAAATATTCAGTTCCAGTAAGTGGAAAATAATCCCTTTTTCTCTTCAATTCCTTGGGATATTTGTTTGAAATCATGTTTTCTTTTTTAAGGCTGTCGTGTAATGTGTTGATTTTTGTTAGGGTTTGCCTTTATTTGATTAGTTCTGAATTTTCCTTCACCGGTGAAGATTTTGTTTCCTCATCTGATTAATTTAGCTTCTATGTATATAATTTGAAGGGTTGATTAGTGTTTAGGTTAGTGTAATTTTGCTCGGATTATTCATAGCTTAATGGTCTCTGTAGTTTCGCTGTTTGTGATAAAAGGGTTGTTCTAGGTGATATATAGTAAACAAGATTTTTAGCCTATTTTTGTTCTCGGTGCCATCCTATATTATCCAATCCTCCCCGCTAAACATGCTATTGAAGTTCAATGTTCCTAGCTTAGAAGGTTGAAGGGCTTAGCCTAGATGTTTGGGACTTTTGAGTTTTTGCTATTTTCTTTTAAAAGAGCTCAAATCTAAATATGTTTTCCATCGGAGTTAGAGGAAAAATGTTTATTTCTTTAAAAAACCTCATCTGTAGATGCCTAGATGTTTGGGACTTTTGAGTTTTTCCAATGGAGTTAGAGGAAAAATGTTTTTTTCTTTAAAAAACTCATCTGTAGATGCCAAATCACAATATATTAACAGACGTGAAAGGACATCTAGAGATTTGATCTTGATTTGTAGAACTATCAAAAGAGTAAAAAGTTATGTGGAAGCTTAAAATCCTACAAAATAAAGAGTGGCACATATGCAGTTACAAGTGATGGGGTGGAAAAAAGTTCATATTTAATAGTGTCTATCATATAGAATTTTGGGGTGTGCACGCACACACGCATGGTGTAGGTAGTGAGGATGTAGATCCGCTAGTGGTGCACTATGTACTCGTGGATATGAATCCAATTTAAATAGTAGAGGCACAGTGAAGAGGTGTAATCCAAGTGCAAGTAAATTTATATATAGACTCTATTTCAACCCATATCTATGGATTCCAACAGAAGAAATTATTCTACTCAGTCTTTTCTCCTCCTCAAATTTTCAGATTATGCATATAAACACAGTTCTGTTTTTCAAAATTAAAAGAAATACTATAAATCTGCAGTGACGGCACTCCCATATCATATTATCAGCCTTTTATCTGTGGTGTTCAAGCTGTTTTGTTCGGTGCACACTAGAAATAATGGGGTTCCATTGTATTCTAAAGGCATATTTGAATATCCAGAACACCACTGATTTGATGGGGGCAAATAAAATATTAAGGAAATGCTTATCTCTTGATTATTGTGCTCGCCAGTGTTATATCTATTGACTTCGAATAGTTTTCGATATTTGACAATTTTCCTTTTCCTCTCCTTTTTGCACTATTTTTGTACACTGTAAGAAAATCATAGCTTGTTCTTCTTCGCTAACAATATCTTCTTTTATAGAAGAGGAAATTGATTTGTAGTAAGTTAATTTTGTCACCAGACCGCCCCATTTTGTTGCATGAAGAGCGCTTTCTCTAACTGTCAACTTTTATCTGCTTTTGTCTCTCCAGCTGGAAAGCATTAGTGAAGATGTAGCCATTACTAACAGGAAACACATTGTGTTGAATAACTTCCTTCCCACCCTTCGGTCCGGGGAGTGGTCCGATATTGGAGGGCGGTTGGACATGGAAGACACACACATTTGTATTCCAGACTTAGCTATGAATTTTGGTAACAGTATACATGGCAAGGAGGCTGTCTCCTTCTATGGTGTAAGTTCTTTAACCTTATTTTTGACATCAGTCTTTTGGCCAATTCACAACTAAATGATTATTAAGTATTTCCTAAAATATTTTGATGTCATTTTGTTGTGAATTACCACTAAAAGAAAGAATTTTCAGCCTTTTTATTCAGTCTCTGATGTCTTTGCTGTTTGTTCATATGGCAGGTGTTTGATGGACATGAGGGAAAAGGTGCAGCCCAATTTGTACGCGACCACTTACCAAGAATCATTGTTGAGGATGCTGATTTTCCATTGGAACTTGAGAAAGTGGTCACAAGATCTTTTGTGGAGACAGACACTGCCTTTGCAAGATTTTGCTCGACTGAGTCTAATCTGTCCTCTGGCACAACTGCTCTCACTGCTATGATATTTGGGAGGTAAACATCTTTTATATGCTAGCAGCTTCTAGGTGTGCGTTGAACTTAATATGTTGAGCATTATAGTCTTGGTCACGTCATTCCTTCTTATGTATTGCATTTGCTGAAAATGTTGATATCTACAGCTCGAGTTTGAATGTTCAATTATTTCTTGTACCTAACGTGGTGCAATTTTGAACAGATCATTACTTGTAGCGAATGCAGGAGATTGTAGGGCTGTATTGTCTCGCCGTGGAGAGGCTATAGAAATGTCAAAGGATCACAAGCCTTGTTGTATTAACGAAAGGGCACGGATCGAATCACTTGGAGGATTCATTGAAGGTGAGTATTTGAACGGGCGGTTAGGTGTGACTCGGGCATTAGGTAACTGGCATATTAAAGGACTGAAGGAGGGGGAAAACGGCGGTCCATTAATTGCTGAGCCAGAACTTAAGTTGATGACCATAATGAAAGAAGACGAGTTCTTGATAATAGGCAGTGATGGAATATGGGAGGTTTTTAGAAGCCAAAATGCAGTGGACTTCGCTAGGAGGAAACTCCAAGAACACAATAATGTGAAATTATGCTGCCAAGATATTGTGAATGAAGCCAAAAAACGAGGGGCTGTGGACAATTTGACAGTTGTGATGGTTTGTTTTCACTCTGAGCCACCACCTCCTGTCGTGGTGCAGAGACCTAGAGTTCGACGGTTCATTTCTGCAGAGGTTCTTCAGAACCTTAAATTTCTACTTCAAGATTAGAGGTATTTTTTCCCTGAGATGGCCAAAATCTGCACCATCTGCAGTAATTCTTATGATAATGATGATGATAATTGGATTATGAGTCATAACCTGTAAGTATGTCATACGATAATAATACGTTTTTCCTTTCGTAAAGATCGATTTTGTTGTCAAGTGAATGAGTTGGCACAAAATAAAGCATGAGGCTATACTGTTGTTGTAAAATACTGAGGCACATTTGACACGTAAATTCTGGTCTCTTTTTTCTACTCACAATGCATAACGACTTTTAGGTTATTCTGTGCATTCTTCTTTTCGTAATAGTAAAAGACAGTTGCCAAGATTATGAAACCAGCCACACTACACATTTGTGCGGGAATGGATTTGATTTTGTTTTTTGAGAACTTTTGAGTACACTAGTTCAATACCATACTTCGATTCTGTCATTCTAGAAAGAACGTTAGAGCTTTCACATGAACATATATTTTTTTTTTTTGACTTTTGTGGCATTCTAATAGGAAACCAAGAGTTGTTACTTTCTGTGACATTTGGTATACTTGACCAACCACGATGAAGAACTAACAAAATTTATCAGTTCTCTCTTCGTTTATCAGTTCTACATCTTCATTGCCTCACAGCACTACACAGTTATATTCCTCAAAGGAAGTACTATAAGCTCAAAGCCTAGAGGTGACGAAAATGTGGCTCAAGAGTGTCTATGCAAAGCCCTTCTCTCTTCACTCAAAGAGGCAACGCACACTTTTTTTTTTTTACTAGGCATTCTTCGAATAAGCACCAAATAGAAAATAAAAGGAGAGAAAATTACTGCTAAATGATAGCCTGTCTGGACAACAATGGCGATCATTTATTTGAATACGAAAAACCATTGTTCCTTCCACACACACACTAACAAGAATCAGGAGAAAGCCAAAATAAATACAATCCTTTATCACAGAGAGTGAAACAGCAAAGACCTAACCTGTGGATTATGGATTCTTTCAGCAGTACTAAAAATGATATGAACCAAAACGTTAAAACTTCAAATTATATACCCAGAAGGCTAGATACTAAAGTGATCTGATGAGGAAACAAAATCTTGAATATGGACGACAATTCTGAACTAATAAAACCAATGGCACTTACTATCCAGTGTCCACTGAGCTAAACTTGATATAAAAAATCAGCATACTGTACAACTATAAGAAAAAATATATTCAACCATATGGATCAAAAGGTACGTATTACAAAAATTAAATTAAAATAAAATAAGTTCGTTCTTTGATTACTCCAGAATTTCAATGATTTACATCAAGTCTAAAAGAGAGGACAACTTATTTTTTTAAAATTTTATCTTCGATATGCCTCTTCACATGCAAAAAGATTCATTTCCTCGTTAAAGGTCCCGCACATGCATAATTTATAAGTTCGTTCTTCAGGCCTACATTGCTTGGACTGCTTTTTAGACCAGTATCCTCACTAGCCAATTTTACATATATATTTCAGTTGGAACACCATTTTTAGTTTTGCGCCTAGTAAGATTGGCACTGCTGTCCGAGATAAAAACAAAAACTTCTTGTGAATTCAACAATACTGATCATCATCCATCAACAGAAAACAAACTACGAATTCATAAAATCAAATTTTACAACTCAGTTATTTATCCATGTCAAAAACATTTCGAACATACAAACATGACATATATTTATTTACAAAAAGCCACCAAATTCACCTTGTCCATGTGTTATACGCGTAGCGCAGCAACAAATGTTACGACTACGTACCTCGTTCCGGAAGTGAGAGGAGAAAGAAGAGACTCTGTAGTTGAAGAGAGAGTAGATAGTCATAGTCCTGCTTTCCTTGACTCCCAAGCATTCTTCAATTATATCCAATTGACTCCCAAGCATTCTTCAATCATTCCTTGCTCTGAATTAACTTTTGATATTTGCAATTTAGTCTCTGAATTTTAAAAATTCTCCATTTTTTTGCTCCTTTCTTCCCAATTCAATTTCAAGGAGTTTTACTTTAAGAAGCAATATATACCAGGGATTAATTCATCAAAAGTACTCCGAAGTGTTAAGTGCATAAAATACACTCATAAATGACTATACCAATTATGTGGAAACATAGCAGGATTCAGTCCAATTATTTTATTGTACATTTATTGAACCTTCGTGTATATTTATTTGCACGTGTAGTGCTTCTTCAATATTTGAAAGCAGGAAAACTTCCCAGTAATCTGATCGAAATGATAAAAGCTAGGAGAAAACAAATTGTTCCAGCGAATCCAGCGGAAAAGAATTACAAGTTCATAGTAGAATCACTCTAAAAGAACACACTCCACTCCACATTTTAATCTGACAGTCACCTAGGCATAGAAGAACCATGCTTCCAAGCTTGAGAAGAATTCAGACCTAAAAGGAAGCTGATTCAGGTCTCAGCTTGTATTCTACAACTATCCTAAACATTGAAGAAGGGATTATACTTAAAGCCCTTGTCGATACTACTACTAGTATTAATAGATGCACGAGTCATCTTTGAAGACGAGAAAGTTGCTGGCTCCTGAGGAGCAAAAAGATTTGGATGACAATTTTCATCGTCATCATCAAATGTGGTCCATCTTTTCGAGTTGTGCTTCTCCTTGGCTACTACACGGGAATTTCCCATCTCTCCAACATGCTCTTTGAATTCTTTTCTGACCACATCCAATACAACATCACCATATCGATCACACCAAGATCTGAAATGAAAAGAAAGATTTCAGTGCAAATAAACAGAAACACTGTTTCTGCAACAGCTTAAAACAGAACTATTATTTTTTTCAAAATCATAAGTTCATCTGCTCAACAGCAATTATTTAAATCAAGAAATGAAGAAAGGTTACTTGGGGAAGAACTTTTTCAGGTCAGCCTTATCAACTGGAAGCCTAGTTGAGATTGCTTCAAGTTGATCATCTCTGTTGAGACATCAAATAATGGTTAATATATATGTAAACAGCTTGAACAGCATATAAAACTTCAAATTAATTAGCTATGAAACATATATATGAAAATTCCAAAAAGTATCTGAAAGAACCGAAACGCTTACGACAAATGAAAATTTTGATTTTTTGCACCGAGTTCTGTTTGGATTCGTGACAGCTCCTTCTTTATATTCTCTCCTAAAACCTACATTTCTCACGAAGATTAGAATCAGCAAATAGATCAGTTTCAAGCTCCAATAGAACCTAGTCAAAAAACGGTGATAAAAAATTCAACAATTCACTTTTCAAGATAAAAAAATATAGAGAACCTTTGGTACAAATTAGTGAACAATTGTGTACGTGATAACAAACAAGATTAAAATTTTTTTTTTTCTCTCTCAGTCCGATCCAGTAAACAGTAATTCACTTCTCAGTCCAATCCAGTAATACCCCCCCGCCCAGCATGTCAAACATGCCAATAGTGATGTGAGATACTACTATACCTTATCGACAAAGAAATCTGTAGGTGCACCATCAGTATGCAATTTCCTCTTGATTTGCTTGGTGTCTGGTCCCTCTGCGGTTGGGTTCATGACGAGCCTCCCAGTGTAACTTTCACCATCTGACTTTTCACTGAGGGACAATGGAGCTGTTTCATCCTCAGAATCATTTTTCTTCCATTTCTTGAATCCATCAAATCCCCATTGCTTCTTGCCTGATTTCATCTTTTCTTTTTCCTCATGTTCAGGACCATAATGATCATTACCACCATTCGCCCTTCCCTCTCTCTGAAACAGGGTCTTAAACGGTTTCTTTTTGGGTTTGTTGCCACTGCTTCGCTTGTCACTATTTACAGAATCTGCTGGCAAGACCTCTGCCATGAGAATGGACTTCGTTTCACTCTTTTTCTCAGTGAAATTACTATTCCAGAAAGGATTTTCAGTAGAAAGTCCAACTTCATTCCTTATAAAGCTTGAGGTGCTTACATTTTGATCAATTGGTAATGGCATCAAATTGTTATCATCCTTTTCTTCCTTCAACTTGCCATTTTTAATGGGTGATACAAAGCCAAATACAGATGCAGCTCCTTTAATTTGCTTTATTGTTGAACCCGGATTCAATTTTTTCTTCGACATTAAGCCCTCTTGACTGACCATGCATTTCTCATCCTTCAAATCGATAACCGACCAGTCTTCATTTGAAGTCTCTTTCTGTGCCCCCACTATGACATCTTGTGCTTTAATCTCGGCTCCTTGAACTGCTAATCTCTGTAACAATGGCCGTTTCGAAGCATGGTACTCATCCTCTGAAATGCATTTGGCATAGAACAGCTCCTAAAAGATAAAATCCCACGTGATTGCCTTTAATTTTGATATTCGCACAAACATAAGATTAGACTGAAGTAGTATCATCTAAAACATTAAAAGAGTACTCTCAAAAGTCATACTTACGTCATATTTGGAATAATAGCTTTACCAAACAGGACTAAGAGGAACAAATATTTCTAGCATTTGTTTATATGATTCACTGTAAATTTCAACATTTTCATCAAATCACCCACAAAAAGTTGAATTCTTGGTGAAAAGTTAAACAAATATGGGAGCTTCAATCACAAAAGGAACTCAATTTATGAATTAAATCCAGTTCATGTCATAACTTCAGCCACAGTTAATATATATCCATAACACCATTGAATACTTTACAGCTCAACTGAAAAGCCACGAAAAAATATTGAGAAATTACTTTATGAGGGAAAACGAAAATAAAAATTAGATACCCCTGTAAGAACTCAAAAAAGGGATACACAAAAAATGTCAAATCAATACCAATACTCACCTGCAAAAAGATCAGTTTATCCCTTAAAATGACGGTTGGCTCGTGATCTATAGGCGAAGCGATTAGAGTCTCCAGAAGATGTGTCCTGAAAGCAGAGACCTCAGTTTCAGCCAGAATGCCCTCTTTAGAAAGGCCCATTAGATTAAGTATTTGGTGGAATGAATCTTGCTGCCATTTCAGATTATCGGACTGCTGCTTTGAGAGCTGCTGCTCGGCTGCAGCAATTGCTGGAAGCCGCCTTTTCTTGAAGGAAAATGGAATGATGCTCTTGCACAGAGAGGTTATGGAGTCTTGCAGTGATGTGTAGTACGTGGGTGTATATGTGTAAACCATTTTCTTTGACCCAGTTTTTTTTTCCCAATCTGAATCAAAATCTGGATCGAAGAAAGATTGATAATTTTCTGCTTTTCTTTCGTGATTTTTATTTCTTTGATTTTATAGGTGAAGCGAGAAAGGTTTTCCCTTTCCTGATGACGAGAGGCTTTGATGTAAGAGTTTGAATTATGGTGTCCTAAAACGGTCAGTTGAAACTAGCCGTTGGGTTTTAAACGTTGCATTTGCAGGAAACGGCGACGTATAAAACTTTTTGTATTTCTTTTTTTATACCCTGTCTTTTGAGGTTATTTACGAAGAGAAGCCACAATTGCCCGATAATAAATAGACTTTTTTGCCATTTGTCAAAGTCCAAAAAGTTCTTAAAGGGGAACATCATCAGTCGATTCAGTCTACCTTCTTCGCTTACTTGCTTAAAAGCTTTTTACCAGAAAGGATTTTCTGTCACATACGTGTCATTGAGACAATGTTGACATTGTTCATGCTCCTTAAGCCTAGGCTTCCTTCACCATCAATTTTTTAAAAATCGTGAGCTGATGAGAAAAATAAAATTTGCTACCAAATAACATCTAATATCTAGCATAGCATAAGCATGAACTACCTTAAAAAAAACATAATAATAATAATAATAAGGAAGCACTAATTCTACAATCATCTGAAAATAATATAACAATCAACATGACTCTTTCCATCCATCGTTTCTTCGGGTTATTGGGCCAGGATGAATAAATTTCAAAATAGAAAAAACTTATAAAATGACAAATTCGATTCTAGAGTTAGGTACTTATGATTTCGGTTTAAGAACCAATAATCGTTGGTTTTGATTGGTTCGAGATCGGGTAGAAATGTTTGATTTCAATTAACATACAAATTTCGTGCTACTTTTAATTATAAGGAACAAAGATGACCTCGGTGCATTAGTGCATTTTCTCTACGTCGGACTCCTATTTGATAGTGCCTAATTTCAGCCATGTAGTTTGGATTGTCAAGCACTTCGCGACTAATGCCTGGCTAATTTTATGAAAATATTTATTCTAGTCAGGAAAAGTTTTTAGATGAAGTTATGACAACTTTTTCAAAAAACTATGTAAAGCACTTTCCGAATAGGACACTCTTTCAAAAATTAATTTCCAAACAGAAACTAAGACAATTTTCTCAAAACAACTCTTTTACAAGACGAAACTTGTTGAGAAAATGTATCAAATTATTTACAATCCCAACAAGAATTTTGTACATTGTGAATTTAATTTGCACTAAGAAAATGCTAATTTGATGACAAAAATCGATGATATGACAATCAATAAAATAGAAATACAATTACACCTCGAATATAATTTACCTCCTTTTTACTCACTAACAAAAAATACAAATCTATCCTAATTTCAACTTTTATGATTATAAAGTCAATTATTTTAAAAATTGTTCATTTAGTTGGATCAGCTATTTATAAATTTGACAAACATAGGTTAAAAGACGAGAAGGATACACAAGAGTTACTCATTCTGAGTGACGTGTCTTCTACTTACTAACAAAAATAAACAATTATTAAAAATATAATTTATTATGCTAAGTACTTGTAAAAAATAATTTACCTTTAGAATAATTAAAAAATAAAATGGTAGAATCCAATATCGTTATAAATAGTGAACAAATAAGTAAGTGATAGAAAAGGTCATGGGATAATTACACAACAAATTTGAATTATATAATCAGGTACATACGTCATAAATATTAGGGCTGCACAAAAAAATCGTAAAATCGCGAAATCGTAAATCGAACCGAACCATGGTTTGGTTTATGTTTCAATTTTCAAAAATCGCACAAAATTGAATCGAACCCTTTTTTTAAGTTTTTAATTAAAAAAATAATTTTATTAGCTTATAAATTTTATAATTTTCACTTT